AAGAGCCTCATGCTGGGAAAGATGGAGGGCAAAAGAAGAAGAAGAGGGACGGCGGAGAATGAGGTGGCTGGATGGAGTCACTGAAGCAGCCGGCGTGAGCTTCAATGGACTCCAAAGGATGGGAGAAGACAGGAAGGCCTGGAGGAATGTGGTCCATGGGTTCGCGATGGGTCGGACACAACTTCACAACTAACAACAATAACAAGATTTAATGGCCGGATGCCCTTCCCTGTTGCCAATGTGGAGTTTTGTTCAGCAGATATTGGTTTGGTTTATTAGATTTATATGCCGCCCTTCTCCCAAGGACTCAGGGCGGCGTACAACATTAAAAAAAAAACTCATATTACAGAAGTTAAAAAGAATTAAATAGAATATCCCAAGCAAACCCAATTAGAATTAACAATGACATTTTTAAGAAAATTCAATTCAATTCAATATATTCTCATTATGCCCAGAGAGAGAAATTTCTGCCTCTACCTAGCATCGAACTCACAGCCTCCTGATTGTGAGGCGAGAGCTCCACCTCTAGGCCACCTTGATTTCGTGATGGTTCAAAGTTACAATGATGCCGGAAAAAGTGACTTAGCATTGTTATTCAGATGATTTTTGTGAGGTTGCCACGGTCACATGATCAAAATTCAGAAGCTTGGCAACTGACTCATATTTACGACGGTTGCAGCGTCCCGGGGGGGGGGTCCCGTGACCAGCAAAGTCGGGGAAGCCAGATTCCCTGAACAAACAGGTTACTCGCTTAACACATCGCAGCAATCCACTTAACAACGGCGGTTAAGAAAACTGGGCAGGCCTCACTTAACCAATGGTCTTGCTTAGCGCCGGAAATTTCGGGCTCCGTGGTGGGTCGTAAAGTCGAGGACTCCCTGTATCGAGAGTGTTCACAATCAAGGGTGTGGTTTTGTCGTTTGTGGTTTTTTCCCCCAAGGCATTGGTCCAGATGGTCACATCGCTTTCAACGAGCCGGGATCCAGTTTGGTGTCGAGAACGAGATTGAAAACGCTCGCCATGGACACCATCCTGGCGAACGCAAAATACTTCGACGGCGATTTGTCGAAGGTCCCAACTATGGCGTTGACGGTTGGCGTGGGAACGGTCATGGATGCGCGGGAAGTAAGAACATAACGTCTTTATACTTGCATTTTTTCCTTTAATGTATCCGAAAACTGGAGTGCTGTATAAGTCACGTCCTTTAGAATTAGTGTATTATAAATCGCCATTTAACGACCCCGGGGCGGAGTCTGGGCAATGAAATGGAGCTAGCAGAGTGTTTTAATGGCCGGATGCCCTTCCCTGTCACCAATGTGGAGTTTTGTTCACGTTGTGGACAGCAGAGCTGGCAGCAGATTCGGACGGGGAGGAGGTTGGGGAGGAACCTGGGCCAGTCCTGGAGTCTGGGGAAGGCTCTGATGTGTGTCGGAGGCAGAGAGGGGGCCAGAACCATATGCCAGTTATCGGCTGCCTTCGGAGTCAAGAGATCAGTGAGGCAGAAGAACAGCTGGAGCCTGTTCCCAGTGTGCAAATGCGCAGAGCTGCCAGATGAAGAGAACAGCTAAGGAACAGAGGTCGACTTGGGAGTAAGGCCAACAGGTGGACAATGAATGGCCCCTCCCAGAGGAGATAAAAGAGGAGCGAAAGGGGAGTGGAGTTTGCAGGAGACCATTAGTTCGCTTCATTGGTTCATGACTCTCCGAGACTCCTTGCCAAGTTTTACAGATATCATCCTGGCAGCTCTCCAAGCCAG